CTATGACTACATGAAACATGACTGGTGACAAGTGACTCCAATCTTATAAGTAGACCCATATGTAATTTATAGAGAATTTTGTTAAGATCTTACTCTCTGTTTTATATTCTTCATCAGATCATATTCTTTTCTATCAAGATTTTATAATTTTCCGTCTAACTTTTGTTTGTGATGAATGTTCTAATTACGTGTTTCGTCAATGTAATAAATAAATATGAATATTGGTTAAAAAGGAAGTGCAATAACATTTAGCCATCGATTATAAGCATAAAATATTGTGCTCATCGTGACAGGTCAATAACACAAATTTAATCTCTACTTTATCACATACAGACATATAAATTCACTTTTTGGTTTCACTTCTTAATTATACAATGACCCATTCTTAGTATATTCATTTTTATCATTACTGAAAACAAAATCCATTGAAAACGTTTACATTTTATGAGTCTACAAAGGGAAAAGAGAAATAAGTGAAAGGTTGAACTATACCAGATCTTGATACTTTTTGTTCTATTCAGCCACTGGGTCGGTTTCCAGTGGTTCACAATTTCCAACTTCTGTCAGTTCACGACATAGCGCGACTGTCACCCAAGGTCTTCAGTTAGCATCCACTTCACTTCCGACTGGTTGACCCCACAGGTCACGGCTTCTCCGTGAAACCTGAAGGTCCTGAGTTCGACCCCTAGCCGGGTCGTGGGTGACTACTGCTGAGGAGTCCCATACTAGGATGAAACAGCTGTCCAGTGCTCCCAGATTTTCAATGGTTCCCCAACTGATATCAGTCCACGGTGAATACTACTTCTAAATTAAAAATCCCCATTCATCCCAAAAATACATTATTTTTTGTTCCGTTAAGCATAAAGGAAGTAACATCTTGTCATATTTGTAAGTTGATACCAATTCATGATTAGAACTACCTTTACATCAAAATCTTTCTTAAAGACCATTAGGAGATTATTAGTAAACAACACTAAATCATAACCTAATGTAGCCGTTAGATCAAGTTATAAAGTGATACCAAAGCGTAGTCCTAATCTGAATGACTTGTAGCGAAAATAATCGATATACAGATTAATTTCATGATTAAATAGCCTCATCTCAGGAACCATGAAAAATGTAGGGATACTAGATGATATTTCCTAACTATCTTGAGACTTATACGTAAACATCTGTGGTGTAGATACCGTTTAACTAACAAAGTTTGCTTTCTTTTGCAACGCTTCATCCCTAACTCATTCCTGTATAGTGATAAACAATAAATTAGTGAATTACTGGTAAATTAAGCGATTTATCAAATCATAAGGTCATAAAACAGGGCAATACATGCGAAATACTATCACTAATGATTCATTCAGTAAAATCGGAGATTAACAATCTGCAAATATGTTATTGCTTGTATTATTCCGTCGCTGATTAGACCGGATTGATCAGTCTCTGTTAGCATGTGGGCCCTTGAGCGTAGGCTTTGATATTGCCTGTCATTTTAATTTCGTAGTAATGATGGATAGTGGCTAGCAGTGGAACCCACGGAGCGCGTTTTGTCGTATTCGGGATTTATGGGTCCCGGGTTCGAGTCTGAGTCGGGACAACATCACTCACTGGGAGGCGGATAAATCCGGTTGACCAGTCCCAAATGAGACTAAACGCGCGTTCTGGATTCCACTCGTGGCCATTAACCATCATTACTACAAAATGAAACCACAGGCAACATCTAGGCATCCGTGCAGCAGCTTATATGCCAATGAGACCAATCAATTCGGTTCAGTCACTGACGGGATAATACAAGCAACAACATAGAAACTATAATCGCTGCACAAGAAGTAGCTATTGTGGCTTGGTGGTCTAATGCGTAACGCTCTAGTGTTTGAAGTTATCATTCGGGGTTGGAGTCCTGAAAGGGACATGATCGCTCACCGAGAGGCAGGTCACATCTAGTTAACGAGTCTTGAATAGGATGAGACGTGTGTCCAGAGTCCCAGGATTAACCACTATCCATCATTAACACAAAATCTGTAAGTAAATGATAAGTATCTTGTTAGCAGACCTCTAATAAAATCTAACTCCACCTCATAAAAGTAAAGGTAATCAACTGCCCGGTGCTTAAAACAATTAAGCATTAATCACTGGGTTTTGACTTCCAGTTTCACTAGACCTAACGAGATTTAGACAACTGGATTGTCAGGTGCAAAACTTTTTACGAAATCGCACTGCTTCAAATTGTCTCCCTTTTCTGGTACCACAGAATGAGGGAAATAAACAGAAATGAAAAGACATTAAATTAAGCTTATTTGAGAAGTTAGAATGAAGAAACAACGTTTTGGTAAAATGTTGAAAAGTCCAAGTACGATAAATTTCCCTATTCCTGTGTATTGAGTTTTTTGGTGACAATGTTCAACGTATCCAAGCAGTAGCTTCAAAGACCTTGAGTCAAGTAACTCAAGTTCCATAAAATTACATCTGTCATTTTCATGAATTGATGCCAATTGTTAGTTTAATCATACTCAGTTTTTTTGCTTCTTGATCCTACTGAAGATAACATTTGCCATCAAGTCAGCCGGTGACTTGATATGCATAATATAGGTTTCAAACACCTGACACTGCAAGGTGACAACCACATAAATTGATTTTACTAACTTGTCTCATGTCTAACTGATTATTATTATTATTATGACTACTACTACTACTACTACTACTACTACTACTACTACTACTACTACTACTACTACTACTACTACTACTACTACTACTACTACTACTACTACTACTGGTCTATATTTCCTACTTCTGTCTGTTCATGACATAGAGCAACCGCCACCCAATGTCGTCGTTGAGTATCTGTCCCCAAGACCACCAGGTTTACCCCATTGGTCATGACTTCTCATTTGAACTTCAGGAATCACCTCTTGAAGCTAGCCACCAATTAGGTGTATGGGGACTTACAGATCTTTTTAATCACTTTTCTTTTTATATTTTCGTGTTTTTTCATTTCTTGAAAATACATAAATAACTTAGATAGACAATCACATTAGCAATTTGATTCATAATACATAAACAATAATACGGCGTGTACTCATCAGTTAGTTTGCTATCAAAAACAGAAGTTGATTATTTAGTTCATCTGTAATACTTTCTTCATCACACAACAGACAAGCTTACCACCGTATTGTACAGTTTCTAACTTTAGTAGTACGTGCATAAAGTCTGATGTACTTTCGACTTGTCTTTCAAGATGACCGACATGCAGACACAGCTTTGAGTGAAAAGGATACTGGTCATCTGATAAACTCGACCCTGACAGATGCTTACATGAGTTAACGTGATTGTCCACAACTGTTTTAAGTAGAAGGTTTAGAGGTACACCACTAGTTCTGTTGACAATCTTCAAAGTTCTACACAATAGAGCAGCATAGTGTTTTGTCAGCAACCCGGTAAAGAATAAAGGAGAAGAGGCAAGATATGGTAGTTTATGAAACAAGAGATGAGAGGCTGAGTTATACCAGGTGCTGTCAGCTTCCGAATATAGAAAGTTGGGTAGAAAATTGTTGTGTAAATGAGTAAGATATGGGAGGAGTTGGAAAGATCCGAAGGAAAACACACCGAGATAATTCACACTTGTAACATTGTCTAATACATAACTATCAATAGAACAGGAATCATGAGAACTTAGCAGCTTATATAGGTTTTGTTCACGTCTAAAACTAAAGTTCGAAGTTTGACGTTTTGAGGAATTAAGCATAAGACCATTCTTGGAGGACCCTCGTTTAATAGTATATAGGAAATCATTCACCTGGGAAAAATCTGCTGAAGAGGAGATAGGTATGGAAACTGTTAGGTCATCAGGATATTTAATGAAACTGATACTAGCTGAAGACGGTAAGTCATGCTGAAAGGAAGAGAAAAGACATGGGGAAAGGATAGCTCCTTGGGAACTGCAGTCACAGTAAGCAATGAGGTGGAGTACTTCTCTCTGTGAACAGTTTGCTATTTCATTTCAGAGAAATAGGAATACAGCCAGAGGATTATCCGGGACTCAGTATTAGTGTCTTGTAGCTTGTCCAGCAATTGAGGTCCTGGAACAGAATCGAATGCTGAAGTATAGTCTAAAAAGGTATACCTGAGAGATTTGGTATTTCTATCAAGATTGTAAGCAGTATTGTGATACAACACAGTGGTGGCATTCTAAGTGCTTCTTCTGCTTTTATATGCAAATCGGTTAGGGTCTCCGAAAGCCATCAGTGAAGCTTCAAACACGAGTATTATTAGCTTCTCCATTGTTCCCAAGAACGGAGAAGTAAGTAAAACTGGACGGAATTCTAGGCATGCATGAAATAATCATCCAAATCATATGTACCCGGTTTCAAAATACTTTGGTCTACAGATTTCTTAAGAAACCGAGGATTCGTAACTGATCAATCACATGTAGACAGATAAACTTGGCAGTGAGTGAAAAGTGATATCACTTGGCTGTCAAAATCTCAGGTGATGGATGAGGCATCGAAACCTTCCATCTAGGATAGTAAATTGTCGCTAAATAACATATAAAGTGAGTGACATATATTTAAATCGTGGAACTTCTCGTTGACTATCTCATTTTAGATTAGTGTTATAGTGAATATACAATTCTATGGATTTTCACAGAGCTTCTAATCCTGAGACACTTTCTTGGTATCTTTTGGCTTATCATTGAAAAAAGTGAAAAAGAAAACCTAACTTTCTATCATATTATCCACAAAATTCAAAGAATTTTTGTTATTTTTAGTCAGTTTACTAAGTAGCTGACAACTTTTCAACGGTCGTTTACAATCCATTAGATAATATTTAAGATGATTATTCCGTTTTTAGGTCATACTAATCACTATTATCTTTTTTTTGTACGCCAAAGATAAAAATGATAATCATTACAATTGAAATAAGTGGATTGACTTTTATATCAGGTCACTATACATCTATAATTTATTTCTTTTTATGATCAAAAATATTTTGTTTTTGTTTTTCAGGTAATCAGATACGTCGACAAAGACGTGAAAGAACAACTTTTACACGACATCAGCTGTTAATGTTAGAAGAATTATACACGAAAACACGTTATCCAGATGTATATGTACGTGAAGAATTAGCCTTAAAACTACGTCTACCAGAGTCAAGAGTACAAGTTTGGTTTAAAAATCGTCGAGCTAAAGGACGTAATCAACAAAGACAAAATTCACTTAATGATAATAATACATCAACTAGAAATGGATTAAATGTTTGTCAATATGATAATGTAAAATAACTAAAAATAATCAGAAAAATAAGAAAAGGATTAATATTCCTTTGACAAGTAAGCAAACTATTTTAAACAGTATGGTTTTATTACTATTCATTGACATACTTGTTATCCTCCATTGTTTTGTTGGATTGAATTGTTCTACCTCTATTGTGATATGGGCTCCTATGCGGATGCCTCGATATTGCCTGAATTTTAATCATGATAATTTGGTTGGTTGTGGCTAGCAGGAGAATCTAGGACACGCAGGTGCATCCAGCTGACGAGTCCCAAACAGGACGAAACGCGCATCCTAAATTTTTCTGCTAGCCACAACCAACCAAATTAGTATGGTTTTACTTTGAGTTGTTTTCTGTTTCTTCACTAATACTAAAAAACTCAAGAATCCTTACGGACTGAAACTTTTCATACCTACATGCTTATGAAACGTTTTCGAAATCACATTAAAGGCATACAAGTTTTCTTGGTGAGCATACTACCTTTTGCCTTGCTTGCCATATGTCTACTTATATCCATCTATCATCTTAAAAGTTAACCAAGCCAATGTTAAGAAAATATTAAGTTAAACGGAGTCCGAATCTTTATCCAACATTCAGTTTAAGAAGTGAAGAATTAAAAAAAAAGCACCATTAAATCATAATAAACTTTGAAGACAGTTATCATTATTATATAAAATCAAGTGTAGATCGTTCACTGGAAACTAGAGAACAATAGACTGTAAGTTGTCCTGCTCTACTGCAGGCCATCTCGGTGACACCTACGCATCACCTAACACAGTTTTGAGCTAAAAGAAATTTAGGTCCTGTTGTTAACTGAGATGACCTCTATTCATCTACATTTTCCAGCTTTGGTGAATTAGCGATTTAGACAGTCGATCATCCAATATCATCCATTGATAAATACTATATCATACAAACATTGACTTGGTATATTTGCATATATAAGTTACGAAAAGAAAATTCTAACGCACATTTTTCTTACACTGAATAATCGACAGGAAGTCATCTACTCGAATTTCAAGCTTGTTGGTACACTTGTCAGTAAAATATATCTGCAGTCGTGATGGAACATATGTCCTCTTCGAGATTCAAACCAAAGTTACGCAGTGTTATCGTCAAAGACTTAACCACTGAGCCATTCGAGATGAAATTGACTTCACTTAGTATTGGATCAGATACATTGGTTAATTACTGTAGAGTAACCAGTTTCATGTTGTCTCGTCACTAGTGTTGACTGAATTTCTTTGATCATTTTTCAGGGTCGTCGTCATGCTGAAAGACTCAGCATTATGATGCGACCTGAATAACTCAGTAGTGACACTTGTGACTGCATCACTAGGCGATATGGATTCCAGTCCCCCTAGATGTAGAAAATACACTTTACTAACATGTACTAACAAGCAAGAAATATGACTCATGGACTCCTATCAACTGCCTATAGCCAACTGACATCTAGAAAAGTGCATCACAGTTGTGAATCTCTTAATTTAGTATTCACACTGAAAAAATGATCGAGAGAATTCGGTCATAGTCAGGATTTAACAGCAAGAAATTGGTTGCTCCCTAGTGATCTATCAGTATACAGTTATTATATATATATATATATATATATATATATATATATATATATATATATATATATATATATATAATATTATATTATTATGTTATTATTGATGTGAAATACTAAGAATCTCCCCCACTGCAATCAAATTGATAAAATTCATAAATCCTGACAGCAATAGGTTTGGATCACTTTTAAGAACATCATATTTATAGCTGGTTCCATTACAGCCATTGAATCGTGATAAGTTCTTATCAGTAAAGGTTATTGAATACGCAAAAGCAGTTTACGTGTACATATAAAAATAAAAATCACAGAAGGCCATTTTAATCCTTCCAAATTAACAATAAATCTGAACAACTTGGATCTCAAATGTTATGTGAGTTGACTAAATGCTTGCAACCCTACTTTAAGACTGGAATAAAACTACCAAGTAGTACTTTTACGTCGGTGACACGTTATTAAGTGTGATACTGGTCTACATTGATTGGTCACGGATGAGCAACCAATTTCACGTTGTCTAATCTTGAGTACTGACCTAATTTTACTGGTCATTTTTGCAGTGTGGCCACCAAGCAAGGTGGCTTAGCATCGCGGTGCACATCGATGGATGTCAGTTGGTTGGAGGCAACTGGCAGGAAACCCTAGACCTAGGTTTTGTGCTTGTTGATACGATGTGCACCGCGACGCTAAGCTCCACAGCTTGGTGGCCACATTACAAAAAATATCGAAATAATTCAATCTACACTCAGGACTAGAAACCATGAAACTGGTAGCTCTCCCATTAACAGCTAAAGTATGTAATCCAGTCCTACAGGAAGTCAATTGTGACTCCAATATCTCAGTAGGTGATGCGGGTTTGGATCTCAGGTGAGACATCAGTTCCATCGGGGTTGGAGATACACGTTTCCGACGAGTTCCAACAGGTACGAAACGTACGTGGAGGGTTTTCCCCCGACGGTCTCCAACTACTTAATATCTATGATACTCTTCTGTTCCGAATTCACTGCTACAGTAACAAACAAATTTGTTTCAACTGAGTAAGAGATGCTCAAGGGACGTAATTTGTCAGTGTCTATATAAAATTTGGCAGACATATATTCAATACCTTTACTCTACTAAGGAATCGAAAATCAAATTGTATTCTACAACCACATGCACATTCGTGCATTAAATATTGGGCCACACGTATTATGCTATGGTTAATGAAATTAACTGGCTGGCCATATCTCTGTAGGGAAGGCAGAGTTCAAGCCCATGGCACAGTGGTTGGAAGTTCTGTGCTTAGACCACTGACTAACAGTTATGTGCTATTTTGAGGACTAATTCATTTTCATTTTCACCTTGTAGAACAGTGAATTGAAAATTGCTACCTTATGTATTTAAGCAACCCAACCATTGATACATTCTATCTTCTTATGAAGTGATGTAACGCCCTTCCTTCCTGGAATTAATCGATGACATAGAATCGATACCTTGAATGGGATAAAAAGATCACAGATGTATCATTTGAGAAGACATCCTGTTAAAGGGATGTATTTATCTGTGATGAAAAATGCCACTAGGTTTAAAATAACCACGTGTAGATACACGAAATCACTATCTACGTAAAAGTTCAAGGGATTCAATAGTCATGTGTATTGGTGGATCATATACTTCTAATCTAGAGTATCTTAAGTTGTCATTTTGAATATTATAACAAAGAGATTTGTTTTAGAAGGTAATAAGAAATATACTACTTTCAATTTTCAATTTTAGCCCTTTCAAACAACAGTTGCTGATTCAACCAAGGCTCTCTTTGTGATTATTGATATTGCTATTGAGAAAAAAGTGCTCTTGTCATTCTTGTAATCACAACATCATTTGTTCATAGGAAGAAAATAATGAAGGAGTGATTGATCCAACTTTACACCAAATGTCTTTCAGATGTACACCTTATTTAATCGCTTATTCACTTACATCGATGTCATACAGAAAAAAAAAAGATGTACAGCCTTTATACTTATAATGGACATTTATATATAAATATATATGAATATTACCGAAGACAAATTGATGAAAACTTCCCTTTCTTCTTCTTCTTCTTCAAGCATGTTCAATTTAGTTCATTTTGTTGGCGTGTTCTTCAAGTGATACTTGATTCTCAATTCTGATCACAGTCATTCACATGTAAACTCTTCGAATACTGATGGCAATATTTCTTGTCACATCTCGTTATTTGTATAATATAATAATAATAAACATAAAAATGGATGTTTTTTTTCCAGTTAAATGTATGCACTTTATATCCATCATTACTACCACCACCACAGTTTTCGCACACTGAATTCTCTCTGAAGGTGAAGTATTATTAAATACCAGCGAAATCTCGTCTAAATTGGATACTTCAGACTACTTACAGAATAATTTCATACTAAAGCGATGTAAAACGTATTGAAACAAATGACATGAAAGAAATGAATTGAAAAATGTCCTTTATGGTAGTTTATTTCATGGATCAGCACTTAGATATTTTTCACAAAGAATGATTTTCTCAACAAATCTAGTGTCAGCTGAGTTTTATCTAAAGTCACTAAGTTAAGATCATAGATAGAGATATCTGGCATACAAGGATCAGGTAATAACAATTTATGCTTCTGATGAACTATATGAGTGGTTAGAAACCATTTCTGGTGATTTGTACATCGTATAAACTATATCAGAATGATCTAACCCTCTAGAAAAGAAAACGGTTTTTTTCTTTAGATGCTAAGTCCATCAGTCATTTATCCAAATGAATCCAATCTATAGAATTGAAAAATCTGAATCAAATTAAATTGGCAAATTGTTTACAATCCAGACAGTCAATTTGGTGGTATAATAGTTAAGCTTCACTGGCTATAATTCAAGTGATACTTTATAAAAATGGTTATTTAAAGATTTCTTATAAAAATAAATCATATGACATTTAATATGTCTAATAGTTCTGATATCGCTTAGATTTATTGCGCGTAAATACGTTGACTAGTAGACAAAGGCTTCAAATCATTGACTTTCTCAAATATAGAGTGGGGGTTATAGAATCACCGGTTTCTTATGAAAATAGTGTCAATGACCTCCTCAAGGTTATAGATGAACGACAGAATGTTGTAGACTCTACTGTTAATAATCTTTTTATCATTTTGACTATCCAAGATAACTGTAGTTTGACGAACTAGTATTGATACTAGGTGATGATTGAAGGTGAAATGGAAACTTGGACCGTGGCCGGACTCTAACCAGTGACCACAGGATTTCCAGTCCGATGATCTGCCATCTGAGCTACAAGGTCGGTCTGCTGACCAGATTTCATTTTACTTCAAGCACCAAGGGCTTTGACCAATTCATGATGCATTACTATTGGTTGATCGTACTCTCATTGTCTGCCTAGTCAGGACTTCTCATCCCAATCCAAATCTAACTGA